CAGGAAAGCTGGGGAGGGACTTGGGACAAGGGCAGGGAGGGAGAGGACAAGGGGGAAGGGATTCAAACTGGAAGAGGGGAGATTGAGGTGAGACATGAGGAGGAAATTCTTGAGTGTGAGGGTGGTGAGAGCCTGGCCCAGGTTGCCCAGGGAAGCTGTGGCTGCCCCATCCCTGGGGGTGTTGAAGGGCAGGTTGGATGGGGCTTGGAGCAGCCTGGGCTGGTGGGAGGTGTCCCTGCCCATGCAGGGGTTGGATCTAAATGATCTTTGAGTCCCCTTCCAACCCAAACCAGCCTGTGATTCTATGATTCTACTAACTCAAAGCAACCCACAAAACACAGGCCAGCTCCACACCAGGCAAACAACAGGTACAATTTCTCATCTGAGCACTTGGGTTGAACATTGTCCTGTTGAGAGAAACAGAACTAAGATGGAAAGAGCTTGGAGGCAGAAACTGTTCCTCTGCTCTGCGTGCACAGGATTAATTCCAACATGCTTAGGAGATGGACTTTTTATGGCCATTGCCTTTGAAGACAACAATCTAGTTGGCTGCATGGGAAGTCCTACTGAACAGCTTCATGAAACCTGGACTACACCTCTCTGCTGATATCCAGCTCTCCAAGAAAAAGGTGCTAGACACATAATTGGGTGATACACACAATAACGTGTATCCATTAAGAGGGACACTCTCCCAGTCCTTCCACCCTTCCAAACACATACAAGGATTTATCATCACTTACAGACCCTCGGAGAAACAGAATGGGAATTTTAATTCCAAACTTCTCATCCAGGGCAGTGACTGCAGAGAGCAGCTGATAGGCTTGCTTCCCAAAGTCCTGGAGACCTCTCTCTGAGACACTGGGGACAGCACAAGAGGCTCTGAAACACACCAAGGAAACCAACCTTAAACACAGACAAATCAAGTTCCCTCCCCCTTCTTTCAAATATTGTCCATTCAAGTGGTAACTAATTAAAATACACCCTTCAGGTGACAGCAATAAAAGCAATCCAGCATGTTCTCATGTCAAGAAGAGACCAGAAGTCAAAATCAC